CTGGAGCCCACACTAGGCACTGTATCACAAAGAGGGCCAGAGCCAAACCTGGCACCAGAACTGAAGCTGGACCTGTTCTAGAGCCAGTCCCAGGAAACAACTGCCATTGCTCTAAGATGTGCTTCTAGTGTAACCTGAGGTGCAAATGAAAGGCTCTGTACAAGCACCCCTCATTTTATTGCATTCCACTTTATTGTACTTCTCAGCTATTTTGTTTGCTTGTTTTTTTAAATTGAAGGCAAGGCCCTTTCCAGCAAACAGGTTGACTTGCTTTATTATGGTGGTCTGAAACCGAACCTTCAGTATCTTCTAGGTGTGCCTGTGCATGTGGCTATTTCATGCCTGGTATGTTAGAGAAACATCCCTGTTCAGAAAGAGGCCTTTCTGAGCAGAAGTGGCCAATAAAACTTCATGCTGACCTGAGGAGAAGGGAGCAGGGAGCAGAGAGGGAAGAAAAGGAAACTTGTAGATTTTTTGGTTTGTTTTAAATAAAAAAGCCATGTGCAATTTATCTTTGTGTACCCAGTCTTCCCTTCTGAACTTTCTTGGCATGATAATGGGTGGATGTTAAATGTAAAACAACCAATTTGTAAATAGGATCACAGTTTAAGCAGACACAGAGTTTGTTGAGGAAGCAAGTTTGACATCTGATGGCAAGGTAGTTGTAAGAACTTTGACCTGTTGGTGGTAGCCTTGGGATATCTACATTCTGTCCACCCATTACAGATCCAAGGAGTTCACATTTATTGGCATTGGAATTTGTAAATATACTTTTTCTTAGGGTTATACATGCATTTTCATGTATTTATTTTCCACTTTTACAGTGAGCTTCCTAATTATTCTTAAAATAAATTGAAGAATATACTAAAACTTGGTGGAACATAAGCTTACTGATATCTTACCCCAATCCCAGTTTTTGAACAGTTCTCTTTGGATTGATGACAATTATCTATAAATTTTTAAGCATCTTTGATAAATTTTCCCAGGTAAAGTGTAAAAAAACTGCTTATAAAACTACAGCTGGTAGCCTGGCTTGTGTGGCTCAGTGGTTGAGCATTGTCCCATGCACCAAGAGGTCCCTGGTTTGATGTTTCTATCTCTCTCTCCCTCTCCTTTCCTCTCTTTGAAATCAATAAAAACATTTAAAAATAAGTAAATAAAAAATAAAATTAGCTGGCATGGTGGACAGGATAATGTTATTCTAATTAGTTGTAATTCATAAACCTTCTTAAGATTCATCCTAAATGTAATATTTTCATATATTGCCCTTGACGTTAACAAGACTAACCTCAATTATATTGAAAATTATTATTTAGTGCCCTTTGAGAGTGGTGGTTGGGAAGGTGAACCAAGATTCTTTGCTTGTAATGTCTTACTTTCATCTTTTTGTGTCTATTTGTACTGCTTCCTCTCAACTTTTAGCTCTCGTTCCCATATTATAAGAACAGTGCAAGTTTGGGGAAGGTGGTGTAGTAGGTAGCAGCAAGAATCTGTCTTCTACCTAGACAATAACTCTACTGGCAGAATCTGTGTGGTGTAACTATTTTTTTTTTATTTTTAAAAAAAATATATTTTTCTTGATTTCACAGAGAGGAAAGGAGAGGGAGAGAGAGAGAGAAACATTAATGATGAGAGAGTCATTGATCGGCTGCAGCCCACAACTTGGGCATGTGCCCTGACCGGGAATCGAACCCTGATCGTCTGGATCCTAGGTCGACGCTTAACCGCTGAGCCACGCCCGGCCGGGCTGGTGTAACTATTTTGGAACTTTGAAGTCTATTGAAGGCTTGCAACTTCCAGGAAAAGACTCGGTAGTTAATTTTGGTTAATTTCAGCTCTTAGCACAGTAGCAGCTTGACAGTCAGCTATACACATGTTTCTGTAGCACCTTGCACATAGCTTGCGGGAACCAGGATGGGCAAAAAGGACCCTGTTCCCCAAATATTGAGGTTCTCTGCTCTGACTGCTGAGTACTGCTTCTGATCACAGAGGTGTGGACAAAGAGTCAGGCAACCATTGTTGCACCTCCCCCATTCTTGCAAGTTCCTCTCCCTCTGGCTGAAATGATTTCCCAGGGGATTTATAGGACTGATGTCCCCCATCCCTTTTCAGTTTTTATTTTTTCCCCTTTTGGGAGCCAGGCATTAAAGATTAGGACATTAAAAGAACTGCATACGGGGGAAATTAGAAAGTGACTTGTATGTTCAGGGAAAGTTCAGAAAGGACCTGAGAAGATCTTAAGTTTATACCTAAGACTGATCCTCAGCACAGAGACAGCCTACAACAATAAAACAAGCAAAACCCAATAACCAAAAAGCAAACATTGGGGAAGGGGGGAATCTGATTTCCAAAGGGGCCATGTTACTAGATTCAAATTGACAGTGTTCAACAGCAGTGACAACAAAATCACAAGTCATACAAAGAAACAGAAAAATATCGCCTATTCAAAAGAAAACAAAATCAACAGAAACTCTTTCTGAAAAAGAATGACACAGTAAACCAATATATATATATTTTTAAGTTTTATTATTGTTTAAAATATTACAGATGGCCCTTTTTCTCCCCAATGACCCGTTCCACCCCGTTCCTTCCTCCTCCCCAGTCCCTCTCCCCACCATTGTCCGTGTCCTTGGGTTGTGTATATATGCACATAAATTCTTTGGTTACTTTCTCCCTCCACCCATCCACCCTCCTCCATCCCTCTTGACATTCATCAGTCTCATCTATGCTTCCATGTCATTGAATCTATTCTGTTCATCATTTTATTAAGTTCTTTAGATTCCACATATAAGCGAAATCATTTGATTTTAAAACCTCTTTAAAAATCTTAAAGAACTAAATGAAGATGTGAAGAAAGGCAGTAAAATGATGTATGAACAAAATGGAAACATAAATAAAAGAGGTGTAAAACCTAAAAAAACCAGAAAGAAATTCTAAAGCTGAAAAGTATGATAATTAAAATGAAAAATTCACTAGAAGGGTCAAAGGCAGATTAGAACAGGCAGGAGAAAGAATTAGCAAACTTGAAGATAGGACAATGAATATTATCGAGTCTGAGGAACACAAAAAAGATTGAAGAAAAGTGAACAGAGGCTAAGGGATCTGTCGGACATCCTCAAGTTGACCAGCATTCTACAAGTTTTAGAAGGAGAAAAGAAAAAGGTGCAGAGAGGCTATTTGAAGAAAAAATGGCTGAAAACATCACAAATTTGATGAAAGACTTGAATATAAACATCCAAGAAACTTAATGAATTCTAAGACGAACTGAGAGACACACATTGAGACATTATAATCACGGTTCGATTCTCGGTCAGGGGACATGCCCGTGTTGTGGACTCGATCCCCAGTAGGGGGATATGCAGAAGGCAGCTGGTTGATGATTTTCATCATTGATCTTTCTGTCTCTCTCCCTCTCCCTTCCTCGCTCTGAAATCAATAGATTTTTTTTTTTTTTAATCTAAGATGGTAAATTTTATGTTAAGTATATTTTACCACATAAATTTTTTAAAAAGTATTGCAGGTTTATCTCAGAATATGTGTATTATGGTTATCTGTTCTTCATGTTACCACCAAATTTATCTTTCTAAAACACTGCTTTATTTATATCATTTCTGTGCTCAAAAATTTCCATTGGCCTCTAGTGTCTGGCCTATGTCCTTCTTTCTGTCCTTACCTCCCATTGTTAAAATCATCCTACATTAGCTAAATTAATTACTTAACCTTCTCCCAGCTCTAAATTTAAACTCCCCTAGGAAATATCCCACTTGTGGTAGCTTCACTTCTGAAGACCTATAGCATTTATTGATTAAACAATTCAGTTAACAGTTGGCACTGGCTGATGTTTGTGTGCACTAGTGTTGTTGCCCCAAATATCTCTTAAAATTATTTGTAATTACCCACTGACTTAATAAACATGAATTGATTTATTGATATTTTGTGAATAATAAGAAGTAAAGATACCCTTCATGTAAATTTCAGACCTATCTGTGAAATTTTAGAGCATCTGGTATTGTTTCTGCAGAAGGTACTCTTGGTATCCAGGTTGGGTAATAGCCCTTGTTAAATTTTTTTTAGACCAGTTAAATGTGGTACCAGTAAGTTGTCTGTAAGGTGACTTTGTATGTATTTTCAGGCAGTAAAATAATTTTGAGAAATGTAGAATCTTAATTTGGTTTTTGCTCTAGTTGTCAGAAATAAGTATTTGTATTTGGGTTACTAATACTTATCTCTTGTTCATGTGCTAAATAAAGTTGGTTGTAGAAAGGGCTTGCTAGTTCTATGTCAGTGCTGTGTTGGTGTTGTAATGCTTATAAAGGTTTTGTTTTAAGTTAGACAAGTTAAAATGGACTTGAAGTTAGTGATTCTGTACTTTACTATGGTACAGAATTTTCCCTATCTGGAAATCAAGTTTTAATGTGTTTTTTAAAGCAGCCAATTGTTAGGACAAAAGCTTGTTTCTAGTAGTCTTGGTGTGTGTGTTTGTGTACACATATGCACATGCCTTCTGCAGGGTTATGATTAGGATATTGAAGTATTAAGTGTATTGCTCTTAAGAACCTATAGAGAACATTCTAATAACTTTATGCCCCCTGTCAAACACCTAGAAGAATGGGTATTGTTTTAAGAAGTTTAATGGGGAATATATTAATTATGTGCACAAAACTAAATAATTGATTAGACTTTTAATCTATTACTTGGAGTAGTATCCATTTTAAGTAGTACTTTTTAAATAAGCTATTGTTTCAGTAAGTAAATAAATAAACAAATAAGCTAGCTACTGTTTTTGGAGAGCCTAATTAGAATGTAAGTTGCTCAGAGTTAGGGATTTTATCTTATTATACTTCTTTGTATCCTTAATATCAACCTAATATCTTACATCATAATGCTTCGGTAAATGTTAAGAGGATAAGATGTCTATTTTTATGGCTTTTAAGAAGTTTGTTTTTATTGTGGAAGAATGATTTTACTCTGATTTTATTCAGTTTGTTTTCTTTTTACAGCCCCATAGACAAACCTTCAGATTCTCTCAGTATAGGGAATGGAGATAATTCCCAGCAGGTAAGATTTTGATACTGTATCTTTTCATTTATCTGCCCCCCTCCCAAAAAAACAGGGCATTCTGTGTAAGTGAATTTTCTAGATAGTGAAAAATACTTTAAATTTTAAACAATTTTGAAACACTTTTAGTGGACAGCTCTGTTAAATGTATTTTAATTAGCCTTCTTTTCCCCTACAGAATCCATGGAGCATAATTTAACCCTTTCATAATGATTCAGAATTATCATTATGACCGTATATTATTGTACTGTGTGGCAATATATTAGTGTCCTTAGGGTCTGCTATTCGTCTTCTTGACCCTACATGAAACGGCCCCAGACTATGCCTTCTATATTCCTGGTTTTAAGAGTTTTTCCTATGCCATATGCTCCCCTGTCCCTTGCTGTCAACTTTATTTTCTACTTCTCTCAGTTTACTTGATCCCAACAGCTTTTCTCCTTCCTCAAAATGATTATGGGATTTGAAATAATAAACCAAATAGTTAAGTTCAGAGTTGCCCCCACAGTGATACCGAATGAGGTCCTGATCTTTAGAGCATGCTTGTATCCTCTCGTCCAGTTGCTAGTTTTTCACTGGTTAAGTTTCTGCACACTTTCTTACATTGGTTAAAAACAATGTAGTTTTCTTCCACAGTGATTGTGAGAAATGTAGAGATCTGAAATACACTGATTTTCCAAAATATTTGCTCTCAAATTCCATAAAAGAATTTGAAAATCTATATGCCCCCCTTTGTGTATTTTAGGTTAACATTTTAAGATTTTTAATAATGAGTTTAAAAAATTACAAAGGAAATATTATTTTGAATTGATCAAAGCAACTTATGTAAGTATAGATTTTGACAACAATTAGTTATTAAACTCTAAAATTATGTTGGAAATTCATCTCTTGTTGAGATAGGGCCATTTTAAAATTAGTTTTCATGTACCTGTAGATGAATATTACTTTTCGGTTCAAGTTTCAGCATCAGCAGTCATAGTCATGTTTTCATCTTTTTATATGTAAATGCTAAGATATCTTGTTCGTATAAATTAGAGATGGAAGAAATAATATTATGTTAGTCTCACTCTTGTTTTGAGTAAATCCTCACCTGAGGATATTTTTTCCATTGATTTTTAGAAAGAATGGAAGGGGGAGGAGGGGAGGAGAGGAAGAGAAAGAGAGAGAAACAGAGAAACATCAATTGGTTGCCTCCTGCACACAGTCATGGGCAGGGGTTGAACCTGCAACCCAGGTATGTGCCCTTGACTGGGAATCGAACCTGCGACCCTTAGATGGTCAGGCCAATGCTCTAACCATTGAGCAACACCGACCAGAGTTCACTCAAATTTTTTAACTCCTCCTGAATTAAATGCCTAAAAATCATATAAAGATTTATTATAAAAACTATTTTTAATGATGTATTTAGAAATAGCTTGATTAGATCTTCTTTTCATTTTTTTCAAAACTAATGTATTGGGAATCACCTAGTTTGTAAAAGACTCAAGTCATTGGAGTTGGTCACTTTGTCATCACCAACCTGAATATTTCTAATAAATTTTTTTTGGCTCCCAGAAAGTTTTCACTGTTGTACTAAATATTATAGTTAGGTTCCAGAGACTGAAAAGTATTCTTTTCTGTGTGAAGTGAGAGAAGTTAGGTTGTAGAATGAGAGGAGACTGGATTAGTCTTTTCAGGACGTTCAGTTTTAGAAAAGAGTACTTATGCAAGTTGATGGATATTTTTGAAAATTTGTGCTTTCATAATAGTCTTCAAGTATCCCAGTCTGAAGACCACCATTCTAATACCTTTTGTTGCAAGTTGTTTTAATTGTGGCTTGTTAAAATGTATAAACTTATATTGATTATTCTTTTCTTTTCCTATTTTATTTAGATATCTAACAGTGATACACCTTCACCACCACCTGGTTTATCAAAATCTAACCCAGTCATCCCCATCAATTCATCCAATCACAGTGCACGCTCTCCTTTTGAAGGGGCAGTAACTGAGTCACAGTCGTTATTCTCAGATAACTTTCGCCATCCCAACCCTATTCCAAGTGGGCTTCCTCCTTTCCCCAGCTCCCCACAGACATCTAGTGACTGGCCTACAGCACCAGAGCCACAGAGCCTCTTCACATCAGGTATGAAGCAGTACTATCGCGTGTTAATAGTTACACTCAGACTAAAATGAGAACCCTGCTGGCTGTGCTTTTATCTTTTTCCATCCACTTCCTTTTTCATAAAAATAAACTGCTTGGAATTGGGTGGTTAGAGAAGTTGTTTTATGACCCGGAAGTTAGTTCTGTGTTAATATATTTCTCCAGAAATAAATGGATAGATCATATTTTCCAATAGTAAAACATTTATTCCTCTAGGAAGTATTAAGGGCTTACATTTTTAATCAGATTTGTGTTTGTATAGTTAAATTTAAAATTTTTTCCCCCAGCTGACAAAAGACATGTTTATATTAAAATTTATATTGTGGCATTTTTGAGCCATTTTCATTTTTGTTTTATTATACGTTCTCTTATTAATGTGAATAGCATTTATTATCAGTGGAGCAAATTATACTTTGTCTTTAATAAAAACATTTTAAAATGTATACATTACTAATAAGTTCTGTTATATTTATTATTTCATTTAAGTGACTTATTCTGGGTTTTGCTTATGAATGGCTGAGAGTATAATTTGGACTTCAAGTACTCTTTTTTTCATTAGCACAATCAGTCTGTATCATTCAGAGTTTTTGAAGTTAGAAGTATATGAGGTCTTTTGTGATTTTACAAATCTTAATGTGCTAAGAAATAATATTTTATGTATATTTGCCTTTATCTTGTAATGTGATGTTTAACTTTCACTAGTATGGATACTTATGAAGTATGAAGGTGAGCTGTATATTTTAAATTCATCACTAATTTTGTCCCCAACAGAAACAATTCCAGTATCATCCTCTACAGACTGGCAAGCAGCATTTGGTTTTGGTTCTTCTAAACAACCAGAGGATGACTTGGGTTTTGATCCCTTTGATGTCACTCGAAAAGCCTTAGCAGACCTGATTGAAAAGGAACTGTCAGTCCAAGACCAGCCTTCCCTTTCACCCACATCTCTTCAGAACTCCTCTTCACACACTACAACCGCCAAAGGTCCGGGCTCTGGATTCCTGCATCCTGCTGCACCTACAAATGCCAACTCTCTCAATAGTACCTTTTCAGTCTTGCCACAGAGGTTCCCTCAATTTCAGCAGCACCGAGCAGTTTATAATTCATTCAATTTTCCAGGCCAGGCAGCCCGCTATCCTTGGATGGCCTTTCCACGCAATAGCATCATGCACTTGAACCACACAGCAAACCCCACCTCAAATAGTAATTTCTTGGACTTGAATCTCCCGCCACAGCACAACACAGGTCTGGGAGGGATCCCTATAGCAGGTAGGTTCATTTATAGCCCTTGAGAATTTGTGAATAACTCACGCCTTTGGGTTGTTGGGTGGGTAGGGAGGGAACTTTTGAATAACAGAGTACTTATCATTAGTCTTGGAAATTTCTGTGGAAAAAATTAAAGTCCTTATAATCTAAAAATGTTTTAATTGGGTGGATGCCTTGTAATATTGAGCTTTATAAGGATGGTGGAGTATACCTAGTTACTGCTTGGAATCATTTCACTTAATAGGATAGTTACCAAACTTTCACATGCCATAAAAATACAAAAAGAAAAAGAAAAAAGATGGGCTCTGAAATTAATGGTGCCAACACCATGGTAAAAATTCTGATTATACATTTTAAAAGTAAACTGGTTAAAAAAATTTTTTTTAAAGATGGTAATAAGTGAGAGCATGAGGGATAAAGCCACTCAAACTACTTTTGGCAGTTACTTATTTTGACTGATATACACCTACACACACATCAAAACTGTGCTATATGTTAATAAAGTATTTGAGAACTCTGATTATTAATGTTTCACAGACATCTACATGCATAAGTATATTTTCTGTGAAAAAGGAATTAAGGAGAGATATTTTTTTGTTTTGGTGTGTCATTTTTATTTGGGGAGGGATATTAAGTTTCTATAAGTGATGCCAGAATACTTCTAGTTTGTAGTGTTACCTTGAAGGTTTCAGAACTTTTGGGTTTTAAGGTACCATATAGTCTTAGATCAAGTGATTTCTCTATCTAAAGGAATCATTCTTCTTAATAGTTTTTTAAAATTTAATTTGGTCTTTAGAGGTGATTGGTAGAAGAGTTTGTTCCTCTTCTGATTTTCTCAAGTAGAATAGAATAGTCCCTCACTCATATAATTCATGAAATTTATTTTTATCCTTTGTCATAGCCTTTAAGATACGGCATGGCACAGCGTTATTGTCATCATGTGCTGTTACCAGCAAGGGTTTGTTGTCTTGATTTTAGCAAGGTTGATAGATGAATTTACAGAGATCCATCAAAATTCTTTGGCTCTAATCTTTTTGTGACCAACAATAAATTTTTAAGACAAGTGGGGTTAGAGTATCGTTTGTGGCGGCTGATATAGGAAAGTTAACAGTTGATACAGTGAAGTTAATTTACGTCATCTTGATAGCACTTACTATAGTAGTTTGCACATCAATGGACTCATGATATTTGTTTATTTGATATGGTAGTTAGTAGGTGACCCAGAGTGACATTTTTAATCCTCTTTTGTATGATATTCACGGAAACACTAAGTGTTCAGTTTTTGCTACTCCTTTTATTCTTCCTTTCAAGACAGCATATTAGAGTGTAATTTTGTTTTGCTTTGTTTTAATCATTTAGAAATGTGGAGTTTTAATTATTAGTAGTGTGTCTTATAACTGATTATAACATTCAAATTAAAGTTATGTTCCCCTAAATATTCTAAACTCTTAAAAATAAAATATTAAACCAATTACAGTGAATACTTGGGCTCCTACTTGCCCAACAATAAACTAGACCATATGGGTAATACAGAAGAAATAGATAATACGGATTCTGTTTCCAGGTACTTTACAGTGTAGTTGAAGAGATAAAATGAAGATTATGTATGAAAGTGGTAACTATATGATACTGGAATCCCAGAGCCATTAATGGATTTTATATTGTTGGGGAGGCTTCATTGAAGAAGTAGAAGTTGATCTGTACGGTCATATCTTGGATTTGGGTTAGCAGGAGGGAAAGAGAAGGACCTTTTATGTTGATGGGAATGCCTGAATAAAGGCCCAGAGGCAGGATTTGTTGCTGTCTTGATATTAAGCAATTGAACTGCTCTAACAGGAGGTGGTTTGTGTATTGTAGAGAGAAATGGGTGAGAAGATGGGGAGCTCAGCTCAGACAGCAAGGCAAACAGCATGGACTTGATCTGATAGGAAGGAGGATGCCTTTGTGGAACTCTAGTTCTAAGCTGTCTTCATTGTGTACTTTTTTTTGACTTATTACATGACCATTATCTGTTCTTCCAATTTTAATGTTATCATATTGTCCATTAGCACAAAAAGAGCAGTTTTAATCCAAATATTTCAAGCCAGTAGGCGTTCTGGAAATGCCATAGTGGTAATGAGTAATCATTTATTTGTGAGTGTAGTTGTCCTCCTGTTAGTCAAATGAAAAAAATTCTTGTGGGAGGTGGAGAGAGTTTGTTATTTTAGATTTTCAGATTTTGACTATGCATACTTGCTTGGTGTTTAAATGGTGACTTAATAAACTTATTATTGGATTATTTTAAAGGCTTTGATGACTAGAGAAATTTTAGTTTTAAGGTACCAAAATATTTAAAATTGTTATCAAGAGTTACACAGAATCCTCTTACGACCTGTAAATATTTGGTAGATACCTCAGGAAGCTGAATGTACTAAGCCTCAAAACAGAAGAGTTGTATAACTGTAGCCAGATGATTTAGAATTTTTAGTAATAATTAGAAATAACAAAAAGTAAAATTCTAGAATACTATGTATATCTTAACTGTGTCTAATTTGAAGCAATTTAATACCTAGGCAATGTCTGCCTCCCCCGCCCCTAGTTGTAACTCAGTTGTACTTGAGTTGAACTATTGAAATAGGTTCAACTTTGTATCCTGCAGTGAATAAATATCATGGTATTTTACACAGGGTGGATTTTTCATTAGGTGCTTGATAATAGATAGTGCATACTGTTTCAGTGAGACTAGCCACTTTAAGATATGCTGAGACAATATCCAATAATGGAAAAGGCATGTATATTTATTCATTCGATATGTGGAGCAAAATAGGGTCTGTGACCTGCAGGAGCCAATATTTAGGCATGTCAGTCACCTACATATCATATAGATACCATATCTATGTTTATTACATATTTATATTTAAATTTTTAGTTTTGATTTGTTTCTGTTAATTATTAAAAATTGACATATCTGAAACCTATCGTAGGAAGGACAGTTGCCAGAGGTTTAAGAGAAATGTGGCTTCCATTTCCTCAATTAGGAGAAATTTATTGAAATTTATTTAGCAGCATTTTCTTGGCAGCACATTTGGTTAAGTTTAGAAGGAATTTTGAAATAAATATTCTTGGAGGAAACTTTTATTAGTGGTAATTATAGTAAGTCCATTCAGATCTTTTTTATTCTTGGAACCGGTGCTTTTGTTTAAAAAGTGACTTTTCTGGTCCTAAAAAGGACTTACCTTGTCCAACTCCTCATTTTAGGGATGGCAAAACTGTGTTCCAGAAAGGTTAAATAATTTGTTAAAGGTCACACATTCAATTAGTAAGAGAATTGGGATAAGAACCCAGGTCCCAAATTCAATAACTGACATGTTTTTCCACTGCAAACATTGATGCTCTCCTTTATAAATGAAGATTACTGGCATGTACCTTAACTTGGCTTTCTTCCTGTAATAATTGATTTTTGCTCTCACACACTTGCAGGTCCCTTTTTATCAATAGTATTTATTTGTGAGACAATTGGCCCAGCTCAGGGATATGGCCTATAGTTGCAAAATAGAATGAAGTTTATTGACTTGATGAAAATTAATCTTTTGCTTAGTGCTCATTAGCACCATGTTCTCACATCTTTCTTGCTATGTATTTAGGGTTCATAGAATCCTTGCCAATTTACTGAAAAACTATGAAATAACCTACTTTAAAGACTGAAAGTCCTTTTTCTCTCGTTGTCAGTGAAGCTCTTTCCAAATGTAATTTTGCAGATATGTTTTTCAAGGAACTCTGCCAAGATATTTTTATTCCATAATGCTAAAAATTATTTGGAAAAATAAATAATAGTAAGTTTAAGTCTGTAAGCATTGTTGTTTCAAGATATAGTTAGGGTTGGATTTTTTTGTGTGTTTTTACTCATTCAATTTTACTTATGAGGGGGCATTTTTCTTTAAATTTTCTTTGTTTCTGAATTAGCTATTTTAACAGTGACTTGATTGGATTTTGAGTTGGGTGAAACAAGTCACTTGTAGTCAAATAATTATCAGTTATAATGAGAAGAACTTATCTCATTTCATGTATAGTTCTTTGACCTAGAAGTAGTCATCTCGCTTTCAGTCAATTGGATCATTGAATTGTTAGCATTTTACTGTTTTCTAATTACTTCAAAAGTACACATTAAATTTTCAGATTCTATATGTAATATGCTAAATTAATATTTATATCTTTTTCTCTTTTCTAAACATAATTTCTGCTTTTAGAACATGGACTTGTCATTTTTTCCTTTTAAAAATCACATTTTCACTTCAGTGAATTTGGTTTTAATTTTTTCACAAAATAATATTGTTAGCAGTATCTAAATTTATAAGGGGTCCAATTGACTTGGAAAAGAATGGCTTTCCTGGTCTCTTTTTTTTCCTTTTTGTATATTTATAATCCAAATCTATTATATTTGTTCTCATATCTGACATAGTATTAAATTTAAGGGTGTGGTTAGAGTGTAACTACTTTCTAGGTACTTGATAAACTTATACTTTAAAATTTATGTCTTGTTTCACACCCATATTTCAACCATTAAGCATGTATTTTATATATGTATCAGTATTCCAAATATTGAAATCATTTTTAAAGGGACTGTTAACAAATCTAGTCACCCGTAACTAGACCATGACTGACTTTTCCACAGGGGAAGAAGAGGTGAAGGTTTCGACCATGCCACTGTCAGCCTCTTCCCATTCATTACAACAAGGACAGCAGCCTACAAGTCTCCACACTACTGTGGCCTGACAACAGAACTGAGAGGAGAGGATTAGACTCTGGGGTGCTTGCATGGGCAACCGGATTTTTGCATGATTCCTTTCTGATTTTGCATTTAATGTATACACCCAAAAGAGCCAATATAAACGTTCCTCATGCCTACAACTAGTGTGTTACCTCATAGCTGCTAAAGTATGTCTTCATTAGGCCTTTAACACAGTTTATTAGTATAATAATTTTGGCATTGTTTCTCATGAGTGATACTATTTTTAACTCACAAATAAACGTGTAGTACTAATTAAGATCCCAAATGAGATTAGCTAGAATTGTTCTTATTTTGGCTCTATTATTGAAAATATGCAAAAATAATGGTAGTTCCTTGTTTTCAGATTTGTGATAAAATGGTAATATCCTAATATACTCATGAAAAATTTGAAAATTAAGAAGTTAATGTCTATTGCATTCTTTGAATACTTAAGAAAGAATACATATAAAACAAAATTGGTGGTGTCATTTAATGCTCAGAAGGATGTTGTCAGCATTTGTTTTTAGTTGTATGGATTTATATCCTATATTATGCATTACATGTTTAGAAACTGTTTTTGTTCTCTCATTTGCACATTTGCACTTTCTTTTTGAATGGTTGTTAATTATATATAGATGGTTAAAAAAATAATCATTATAGACTAAATGCAATATAATCTCTTTCCTAATGCACTGCCTAGTATACCAAGAAATGCCTCAGAAACAGAATTTCAACTTACAGTTGATTTATCAGAAACTTGAATATGGGGTAAACATTGTATGTGAGAAGCAACCATAGTAGTGTAACTTTTTCCTTTGAACAAACGATACTTCTGTGGGATATCTGTTTGAAAATTTCATTGTTTAATAATTGAAATGTGATAATAAACTATATTACAAGTTCCTGACCAGAATGGGACTAAGATAGAAGAGAAGAGATGGGGGATCCTCTAAAATTAGGCCATGTAAATTGTCATAGATAATGTTAGTTAATCACAGAGAATAGTGGAGTACTTTATTAGGACATAATGTGAAGTGATATTTTTGGATAATGCACAGTTTCTTGAAATAGTTTTAAAACTGATAATGAAAGAAAATAAGCAGAATTCAGTTGTGTTCAGTGGACAAAAGCTGATTCAGAAAACATGACCTAAATCAAGCAGCTGGCAAGAAGGGGGTGAGTCAGAGCTCCTCTTGTGGTTTTCACAAAACAGTGTGACTTAAAAGATTTGCCTTCATTTGTTAAAAGTATTACAGGATAATGTGAATACCAAAAAAGGAAGCATAGAGATTTAAAATAATGATAGAACACCTTATGAGGAGATACTTAGTATCATGTTGGAGTAGGAGTTTTCAAGGTTACCTCTCTATATAATGTCTGATTACGTTTCATAAGATATAGTACAAGTTAAATGGCATTGTCCTGAGGTATAGTTGGGTGAACTAAAATCTGTTGGTAGATATCCTTTGATTTGGTTAACTGAGGGTATAGAAATAGCTACTTATCTAGCCATTTAAATTTTTGTGAAATTCTTTTTAAATGACAATCTCTAATTTTTTTTGGAAGTGGTTTTAGGACAGTATTACAAGAAATTTAGAAAATACAAATGAAATATTGTAGACTTACTAGAAACCTTTGATCATGGGTTAATTATGGTTTCATTTTTGCTGTAAGAGACAAATACATCCACTTACTGTCTCCTGTGGTGCTAAGGCTCTGGGCTTTGTTAACAGACTGAGCTCCCTGAAAAGAGGCTTGCTAGCACACAGCTTTCTCCGGCCTCCAATACAAGCCTTTCATCTCCTGGATTTTCTTACAAAGACATGAGAGGTGGTTAGCTCCTCTGTACTTTTCTGTGTTGAGAGAGACACCTGTTAAACAAGGCTTCTTTCCTGTGGTAGTTTTCCCACTCCTTTCTCATTCCTAGCCAGTGCCAAAAAATTGTCAGGTAGTTTGCTCAACTTGCTAGGATCCAGAACTGTTTCCCTGCCGCCGCCTCCTCCCACCCCACTTCCGCACACACCATATGTCAGGACAGTGCTTCTGAAGCAATTAGCCTTCAATTTATATATTTTCACATGGAAAGCTAAAGATTATCCTTTAGCTATCTTTGTAATTCCAAGATTTTGGAAGCCGAAGAATAACAAGCCTCACTGTTTTGCTTAATACTTCATAGACTGTTTTTTAAGTAAAGTGAAGTCTTAAATAAATCACAGTCATGATTAAGTACACTGAAGCACAGAAGAAAGTGTACCACACATAGAAGAAAGCAGTGCTTCACATAGCAAGTAAATTAATGAAGCCGGATGATGGTAAAGAATGAGAAATTCTGAAAAGCTTCAGATTATTTTTGATAAATTCTTACATCATTGATCTATCACACACAGGGGAGATTTTGTATATTGTTACCTACTTAACCTTTAAAAGGAGACTAGTGTACTCCTTAAATCATGAATTATACTTGGAGTCCAGAACTCTTTGGACATATTTGCAAAGTTATGAGTTTGTGTGTATGTACATCTGTCCATGTCTTTCTGGGGAGAAGATCCATAGTTATTAGATTTGTAAAGGGTTTGGTGACAAGTAAAAAAGTTAGGAACTTCTGTCTTGAAATGCTTTTAGTGCCACTGTAGGAAAGAGACACCTAGACTGAATGATTTTAGTCATATGATGCATATCAAATGCCTATTTTCTTAAAGATTCCATTAGGAAATGTTTTCTGATTAATAATACTTTCCTTTTCATTCTGCTGTTGCATTTTGTTTTTCCAGGTGGTGCTTTTTATACTCTTCCCTTATTTCAACAAAGCATTAATGAAATATTTCAGTGCCTATTCTGCGTAGTGATCCGAACTAGATCTTGAGGGATACAAGGTCATGTAAAGTACAGACCCTATCGTCAAGGATAACAGTCTAGTAACAGTTTTATTTCAGATTATTTCTCTGAGGCCAGCCCTTGATATATTTTAACCACAAGGACAGCCATAGCAATTCAAACTCATTTCGTTATTTATTGCTCTGACAGTGGCAATGGAGGATATTGAATACTGATACTTGACAATTTTAAACACAGTTTGGCAGGAGTGACAAAAATCTTAACGGGGCAGGCCTACATTCATTATTCTGATTTAAGTCTTTCTCAGTCGTGTGTGTGTGTGCTCATGTCTTTTACTCTTTACTTAGTATCCTGCAACTTAAGTGGAGCTCTCTACATATGTGCTCTTTTAACAAAAACAACTTTAAAGCATTGTGAGCACATTTTTACTGGCCTTGTTCCTGTTTGTATGGTATCCCAAGTACCTTCAAGACTTCCAGACCTCTCTCCTGCTGTGATGCGGGTTTATAGGGATCTGCTCCCACTTACTCCCACAGAGGCATTACCTCAGAAAGCAAGGGAAAGGAACAAATTGCAGGTGCATTGAAATCTTACAAGATGAAGGCCACTGTGTTATTCACGCGTATATGAAAACCAGAGATATTTTTTCCTATGCTGAGCTGCAAGGTTTTAGATTTTTTATTTGATTATGAATTTCCCCCATATCTGTCTAATTGACTCTAAGAGATAGATATCAGACAATTGAAAACAGTACTTTTTAAAAATTATCTTATAGAGAGGGTTATGACCCAAAACATGCTATGTATGTCTTTTTCTACAAAATATGACCAGTTATCCAGTGTCAAGCTAGTCCTGCTGCTTTTAGTGCTGTGTCTCTCTCCTCTCAGCCTTTTGATCTGAATGAGTACCAACTGCATTTGTTTCCTTGTGCTGAACACATGTCAGTAGTATATGCAGGTATCACACGTGAAATGTTTAGTGAACTAATCAGACACTATGCTGATACAAAAGTAAAAATGGGAGTTAGAGAACAAAGTTATTGTGAGCTGGTTCAAGGGCAAGCTTCGTAAAAAGTGTGGGGCTTTTTTATTTTGAAGGATGGCTGAAAGTTAGATGACAAAAAGGGAAGGACAGTAAGAAGATGGACTCGCCTGAGGTACACAGGTCATATAGGAAGGTGGGCTAAGTGTGCAAAAACCTTGAAAGCTAGGAAGAGTTTAGTCTTGATGTGGATGTGGTCAATAGTAGAGAACTGTAGTTTCTTTGGTAACGATGTAACTTGATGGTAGCATTTTAAGAAGATTAATTTGGTAATATCTTTGCTTGAAATTAAGACCAGTTAGAAAGCAGTTGTAATGTCATTGCTGGCCAGTGCAGATTATGTGGCCTGGACTAGAACAGCAATAGGAATGGAGAAGAAATGATGAATTAGAAGTCAGAAAGGACCTACGAAAAAAACTTTCCATTTGGTTTGGTCTCCAGTGACCTTTAAAAGTGAAACTTTCATTAAAAGGTACAGATCGAAACCAGATTCCTGGGATTCATGAAGAAATGTCAAGGATATGGATGTAGCAGTCATTGAGTACTTATGGCAGCAAAGGGCAAGAGAGAAACAAGATGCTGATTAGATGGGTGGTAGCTCTTAGAAGGCATTGCTTAAAGATAAGTGAGGTCCCTAAATATTTACAGGCAGACCATATAGAACCAGTTTGAGAGGAAGACCTGGACAATGCAGAAGAAAAGGTAGGCTTGTCCAGTAGGGGGGCAGACTTCTGTAGGTAACTTTGGAGGAGGTAAGCCTCTGAGATGAGGTTAGGTTATGGGTTTAGCTTTAGAGAGATGGGATAGAGCGTCCCCTGTTATTTGTAGGAACAATCAGGAAATTTAGGGGAGAGAATAGAATGTGAGATTAGAGAAAATGAGATTAGGTAAAGGGGCTCATATCAGTAATTATTGAATGCGTGTTGTGTGCAAATGGAGGCAAAAGAGTAGAGTAGAGTTGGGAGCCTGTAAAGAAATGAAGTTAACCTGTGAGAATAAGTACACTGGAAAGAAATTAAAAAGTTGCCGAGTAAAGATATGGATCAGACTTTAAACTTTTTAGAGTCTAAATGTGCATGATTTTTGTATTTCTTCTGGTTCAGCATAAAGCATCAGGAGTGGACAAAGCAAATATTAAGAGTTTGGTTAGAAAGTGAAGACAGTATTGAAATAGCTAATCTTGTCAAGAAGAGTCCAGCGAGGCAGGAAAGAACCAGTGGTGTCAATATGTTGAAGAGAGTTTAGGGAGTCTAGGTTTCATAGGGACAGAGAACAGGTGTAGTCCTGATAAGGAAATGTCAGATTAGGAGATTGTGGTTAGTGTGATGACCACTCTGCTGAACGGTGAGTGAGAACCAGGGAAAGGATGGCAGGTATCTTAACTTCAGGGCCGGCGGTTGGAAAGAAGGCCAGCTTTCATAACCCCCGTGATCTCTTCTCTACCTGCTTTCCCTTCAGTCCTTTCTTGAGAGTAGGAAGTTAGACTGTATGAAAGAATTGTAGAAAGTATGGTATTGCCTGGGGAATCCTGGGTCAGATTTCTTGTAAGCCAGATCATCCAAAGGAAAACTGCTCAATGGAGTAAACATCCCTTTCGCAAGGCACAGTGGGAGGGCGTGGAAGTAGAGTGAAGGGGAAGGCTTGGGAAAAGCAGAGATGGGATTGCACAGGTGGAGGTAAGCCCAGTGAGTGTGAGGGACTGGTAGACATGTATGACGGAAGGATTTAGACCGAGGGCGTAGACATGGCATATGATGATTCTGGTAGTTGAGGAGCCCATGTTACAGGTATCTGTATGAGCTAGTTTCTGCCAACCTCATACACAAATTGGAAAGAAACAGCTTTCCATCTACATAGGGAAAGTATCTCTTCTTAGTTGGACTAGGTCATTCTGCTTCATTTATATAACAAACTGGAATTAAAAGCAGTAGATTGATGAAGAGTAGAGAAGAGAGAGATTAAGAATTTTATAATAACTAGTTATAAAAATACTTTAACAGTTTTTCCCAAAAGAGAGTGTGCATTGTGAGTAGATGCATACCTGCAAGTTACTAAACTAATGTACTCTTGGTCCTTATATTTTGTATTCCTAGATGTGACCTTTAGGTAAAATTTCTGCAGATGCAGTGGAACAGGGATGGAGATAGAGAGATACTTCCTCCTTATTTGACCACTGTTTGGAAGTGCCCTCAATTTCCTCACACTAAAATATTTTAAACGCAGTGGACTTGTTTCATATACGTCAGTTGAGATATCAAGTATGACATTTTAAAATGATAATGCTTCAAAGTGCAAGTCATTGCTCAAGAATACGGTGTTTGTGAAGCCATGCTGATGGAGCGAGCAGCCACTGCTCTGTGGATCTCTTTACTGCCGTGTCATTTGCTGCCATCGGTATTGCTGCGCATGCTACCTCCAGCTTCTTTAATCAGGAGCTTTTCCTAAAGAATCACTCTTGAGAATTCAGGATTCATTAAGGAGAATCTACTCTGTTCCACAGAGGTTTAGATTGTCTTCCCTTGAGTTATACAGAAATCTGGCTTACACCTGTTAGGTTCCTAGAACTGAGGGCAAGCCCAAGCAATCTAAGATACTTGACAATGTGACTGAAGTACCTACAAGTTCCATGAAACCACAGAAATTGTTGAACAAGCCCATTTTCCTCAAACCATACTTCCTAAGGTAGCTGTTGACTTGACTGTTCTTAGTCCAATTCACATATTACAGTTATTCTGAAGGTTCCTGAAAGCTCCAAACGTATACTGTACTTAGAGCAGTTTTGTTGTACCAGCTTCTGTTTGGTACTGCGACCCACTGTTGTG